TCAAAATAATAGTTGATAGATTACTAGTTCGAATTGACTATCTGAATGAAATACGTCACTGTTTTCAAACTCTTTTTTTCTTGTTTTATCTTCATATTCCTTTTTGGCTGTTCAAATGATTATTGCTTAGTATTAAGTGTTCGCCATTGAGGACCAAGAATAATCTTTTATGATTGTAATACCCGAAATATACAGAGCATTGTCGTCTGAGATCAATTGTGTCGAATATTTGCTTTATGGCGCAATCTCCTTAAATCGTAATTATTAGCGATGTTTAGGGATCAGGTCGATTATGAGCACTGCAGCTGTTGTCAAAAGCGAAATAAACAGTTCCTATGACAGTCAGTCTTCACTTTATAGCGAACGTTCACGAAAGCGACGATATAAAGGAAAGAAGGATAAGGTGAGTTACGTTTTTAGTTGAATTGCTAGTCCTAACGAAAATCAACCAAGAACGGATTCATTGCTCAGTGATTAGCTACAAAAGTGGTCATAAAATCTGCACGAGACAAGAAAAGTGTGGAACTTGTTGTCATTAGATATGCCCTGTACACGTAATGAATTGATTTAAAAGATACATTGATCATTCAATTTTTGATCGACGGGCCTTCGAGTGAAAACTCAAATGTTTGAGTTTTTTGCAAAAACTATATCAATTTGAAACCATATTAAGGTAACAGTGCTGTGTCTACTAGAACTTTCCTTCACTGAAACTAGTTTTTCTTTTCAGAAAACGGATTGCATTGAAGCAGTTGAGCTCTGATTCAATCCTTTATGAGTTGCGTTCAGTTTTAGATGGTTTTGATTGGTTGATTTTCAATTAAGTTTATATATTTGTAGATTTCCAAAACTAATTGCATTGAGAACTGTAAATCCATACACTGGGAGATGCAGTCAGTAATCCCAGGAGGAAACCGTCTACTTTCATACCTTTCCAATGATTTAAACCATTTCTCATTGACGCTTTTCAGTTTTTCTTCGTAATCCTCCTTTGGTTCTAAAATTCTAAAATCTCAGATTCTAAACGAGTGAACATTACACACTTACTCATTTTACTACAGTATCATTTAGAAACCAGGTATAACTGGTAGGACGTGGACTAAGGTTGAGGATCCTCATGCTCCACGCAAACCTCGTTCTGGCTACGTGCACTTCTTGAGGTGAGACCCTCCTTCCCCGTTTTTTTTCTCACTGAACTTTCGTGCTTGGCACCCAACGAGTGTGCCTGAGTGAACTTGTCCCTTGCCTTCAATTTCACGTTCAGTTCACGTCGATCCAAGTACGGGACGGTAAAGCAGGGATGTGATCAGAAGAGTATAAATGTCGCGTTGGCAGCTGAGTGGCAGTCATTAACAGACGAACAGCGTCAGGTACGATGTGATCCTCTTTACTCAGTTTTGATACATCCTCCAATTAGAAAATCAAACAAGAAACCTTCCATTTCTTTTTCTAGCCATTCCTTGATCTTGCGAATAAGGAGCGTGAGCAATACGAAATCGAGTTGAAAGCGTATGAACAAACTGATCACTACAGAGAATTCGTGGGTGAGTTAGTACGGCGTTTTTACCTTTATATTGAGCAGATACCATCAACTGCTTCATTGTTTCGCATCCACTTCCAATATTCCTTATACTCATCTTGTTATAGTTTCAACTTTCCCTTTTTTCTACTTATTGTTTTTTTTTCAACTTTGTTCCTCTTTTGGAATGATTCGTATGAGAGCTTCTTTTCTTCGAATCACTGGGATGTTCCGCTTCTTTTTAGCAAAGAAAGAGCAAATTATGCGATTACGGAAGCAACGCCGCAAGTTGGGAGTATCTAGTCCGGAGGAATTCGACGAGTCAATGGACTTGGAAGAAAAACTCAGTGAAGACACTAAGAAGAGGTTGAAGAATGAAGGCAAAGACAAGGTACAGTGTGATTTCTTACATCACTCAAAAAGTTCTTACTTTATCGATTTCCCAAGCCTACTCAATCATCTTCCCCATTAGAACAGAACGGGAACGGTAAAATATAAAAGCAATGATGAGAGCTTGGAATTGCTCGAAAATATGGAATTCTTGTTACCAAGTTGAACTTATTTACTTATCTGTTATCAAATTGAGTCTAAATAGTGGCTTGCTACAGTAGAAGTAGTTAATTTGCCTGATTAAACTCCCAACCATTGATTGAGTGCAAACTAATGTTATGGGCGGTGCTGTCTTGCAAATAGCAAAGGCCACAATTCATTTTGGTGAGAATGTAGTTTGGGAGGCCACCCATCTAAAGGTGATTATATCAAGAAATGAACTCAGTCTGACGTGTTAACCCTTGTTATATTAGCACTGTATTATACGCGAAGAGGTTGACGGTAACCGACATCTGTGCGCTTTTATGCGGCTTGGGTCAGAGGAATTAATTTTTTTAACAAAGCCCAAGTAGGGTAAGGGATCTGGGTGGGTGGGATGACTACCTCGCGTGAAAAGAAAGATAAAAAAAGAACGAAAATTTACTCATCGCTTTCCTAAGGATTGATCAAAAGCTGGCATGTCTTAAATGTAACAAGGCATAACACGTTTCATTGAGTTTATTCCGTGTTAACATGTGCTAACATAGTGATGGGTGCCCCCCCCCCCCCCCCCCCCCCCCCCCCCCTCCCCCGCCGCCGAACTACGTTTCACCTTCATTTTTTATTCCTGCTATAATAATACTCCATAGAATTTTGCAGATATGCGTATCGCCTAATAGTCCTCATTGCAGAATGCTGGTCTGAATCTCTCGGCAGTCCCTACCTTACCGAATACCAACATCTCAATATTCAGTACAGAATTCCTGGAATACAACAAGAGTGAGTCCTAGCACCGAGTTCCCATTAAATTCAAGAATAACTCCTGATATCATTCAGATCGAGAGTCTCAGCTTCGTTCCCTTCGCCGTGAAATTAGCGTTGCCGAAGCAGAAAAAGATGCTATGCAGCGGACAATCGCAAAAATGCAGGAGAATAATGTAGCCCTTGAATCTCAAATTGCTCACGGTCAGTAGCGATTATGTCTTCATAGAGATTACGAGCCCGAAACTAGCTCTCTTTTGTACGCTGGTTAATATCATGTCCAGGGAAACCTGCAATAACTACCGCGATGTCAAGTTTCAACGGTTCCTACCACGATATCCGTGTCCTTTAACAAAATCGACTCTAATGAATGTCCTTTTAACATGTCGCCACACCTCTAGACCGCGGCCGCAGCGATGAGGAAGTGATACCTTCGGTGGTGCTGTTCACTTACTTTGAAAGGGTTGTTCGACTGGCCGTTTTTGGGTTTTCGGTTGCTTGCAGGTTGGGGGTAAATCCTGTCACTCTTCGTGGTGTTCGTTAAATAAATGGAAATCTCTAATCCTTCTTATTCGGTTGCGATCTACGCTGTAATTCAAAGAACAATGTTGTTTTAGATAAAAAGATTGGCAAGGAAGCCGACCACATTATAGAGTGCTGGATGCGGGTCTTGAGAGGAGTCATGAGCGAAACAATAAAAGGTATGCTCCGACAAGTTAGTTTTCGTTACCTTATTATTTCACTATCGTCTATATCCCTGTACAGTTAAAGGATAGTTGCATTATTCGCACCTGGAAATTAAAGTAAATTGCTTAAATTGGAGCTTTACCTGACTGGTCACCAATTTCGACTCGGACAGGGGAATTCCATTCATGAGGTTGCAGCCCGCATTTTTTTTTTCATGAATCAGTTGTCATGTTATCGGCAATTTTGTAGCGTGCAGATGAAACCGGCAGACTGGCTTAATGAAAATTCCTAAGAGTTTTCACGAAACTACTTGGAAGGGCAATTCAAGATTCTCCTACAATATTAAAATCATTTTGTTTCAGAATACGGCCTACATACTCCCGAAGAGACTGTAGAGTTTCTGACAAAGTTGGCCGACGGTGAAGCCCCTAACGAGGATGTGCTTCAAGCGGTAAGGGAAGTGATTCATAGCGCTTCGTTTCATATTCCAAAATAGGTATCAGTTGGCAAAATCGGTTTTCCGAACGATAGGGACGCTTAAGTTTCTCGGAGAAGGGGAATATTGCCTCATTTGGGAATATTGAGAGCACAGCGTTCAGCCTAGCCGTGCGAAAAGTATTTTGTCGCCACATTATAAGACGGTTTGACATTCCCGATAACAGACATCCTTGATATACAGTACTGGTGAAGACCATGCAGCTAACTTGGCTGTTCACGATTTCTTGAGCACCCAACTTTTCCATCATTTACCTCAGGGCGCTACACTACGTAATGTGGGAGGCATATCACAGCCGATTATTCAGGGATCAGAGCCGCTTCTGCTAACTGAGATTATTACGGTGCAGTGTTGTTTCATATCAATGATACCATATTCCTTGCCAGTTGATATATCGTTCGCTCAATTACATTTTTCAAACTATTGTTTACTGATCGGTGAACTCCTTCTCTTTAAATGTGAGAGTATGTTTCTAGCACATAAAATACTGAGTGTTTAAAAAACCTGATCTCTAATATATCCATGCCTCGAATAAGGGAAATAAATATTTATTACACCGGTGGCCTACATTGAGAACCGTATAGAAGTAATAGATTTTAAACATAGGCTATAAGATTCGCTTAAATATCTTTCATAAAACATACCAACATAATAAAGGCAACATGAATTGGAAAAAGCCATGAATTCCTATCTAAATGTACCAAAAATGGTTATGCTTTTACGAAACCCTTCTCTTTGAGCTTTGCGATCAGCGTATGCACGTCTTCGACGAATTCTCCCGCTTGACGGACTGGAGGGTCGTTCACCTGAAAAGGGAATTTGTTGGGAGTTGTGACGAAAAATCAGTCAAACTTCAGAGGAGTCTCAGTCAGCTTCTCACCTCTAGTGTTTTAGTTTGTGGCGTAAGATCAACGCCAAGATCTTTTGCTGTAAGCTTTTCCATTGGCTTCTTTTTTGCCTTCATAATATTTGGTAATGTAGCGTAACGAGGCTCATTCAGACGTAAATCGGCAGATAAAACTGCTGGTAATTTTACCTGAAAAAATGAAATGATCGTTTCAAATTTCTATCTTAAAATTGTTCTCTTACTTTCACTGTGTCCAATCCTCCGTCAATTTCTCTGGTCACTTGCAGGTGACTATCATCTGCTTTCTCAACCTAAAATCAATAGTTTACCTTTCAGAGAGAATTCGTGTTATCCACATGAGAAATACGAAACAACATAAACAAATAGCACTGTTAAGATCATCCACCCAAAATGCCTGGAAATTTGAATGAGCACGAATTATTTCTTTATGTAACTCATCATGTTTTACAACAGAACTACTCCTACGTGGGACACCGTTCCATCATTTCTCCCAATCAGTAATGTCTGTCTCTCTCCGCTAATTTTCCAGAATGACGCACAAAGTGAACATTAATATCGAAAAATGAGTCTCTCATTGAAACAAAAAGAAACTGCGCGACAGTATTTGACAAGCAAGGCAATGAACTGATATTCTGGCGACAAGAAAAATAGTGATAAAAAACATTTACAAGTTTTCCACTTATACTTGATCTTTGCTATTTACTAGCTTACCTTGTTAGCAAACAGCGCTTGTGGCCAATCTAACAGGCCAGCCAACAGTGGTCCAGTTTGAGCTGCATCATCATCAATGGCCTAAACGAATCATGAACTACGCTTAGGCATTAAACTTATCGAAATACTTCGGAAGAGTACCTGCTTTCCTAGGAAAACCACGTCGAACTTGTGTTTCTCAACAATCTTCTGGAAGACCTTAGCCACGTGCAAAGGCTCAACTTTTGGGAGCTCCGCGTCCGGCACCTAAACATTCTGCTTTTATGGAAAACAACTAGGTTCAGATGTGAGATGTACCTCTACATGAATGGCCTTATCAGCTCCTTTGGCCAGTGCTGTCCGAAGAATCTCCTGAGACTTCGGACCTCCTAGTGAAATGGCCACCACCTCAGTTGCTAGTTTCTTTTCCTTCATTTTCACAGCTTCCTCCAGGGCGATTTCGTCGAACGGGTTCATGCTATGTTGGACATTTTCTGTGACGACGCCAGTTTTGTCCGGCTTAACTCGAACCTAAAAAAGGGAAGTTCACTCTTTTTTTGTCATACTACAAAAACTGTTCTTTAACAAGAAAGGTCTTTGTAAGAAATATTCAGTGAAGTAATTTTCGGCGAATATTTCGAAAGATATCCAAAAATGTAAACCATACAGAATCGGAAAGCCTCTTTGACTCCCGTGTTTTTAACGATATCAGCATTCCCGGACATATACTCCCTAGAACTATTCCATGAATTATCCTCAAACAAGACTGAACGATGCTGTTCTGTAGAGGATAACAAAACGTCGACAATCAAGTCAAGAAATACGACTCAGGGCACTCACCTAAATCCCGCCAGTCCCCTGCCTGTCTATACTAGGCGTCTTCGCGTTCAGCGTTGCGTTAACTGCTTTGCTAGGAGCGAAGTGGTGCTACACTGACGAAAACACCGTGCGGATCCACATCCTAATCATACTTCCACTTCTTTATGCAACCACAAACTACTATTGCGTGTTATTTCACGACACTTCACGACTAGCAGTAGACAGAAGCAACAGCGGGATTACGGTAAAAATTGAATCCGTACTGAATCCCTGTTTTGTAGCAGCCACTGCGACCCAGGGGAAGGAGGGTAGGATAAGCATTTCATCAACGCTAACACTGTCACCATCACCAGGCAGAATGGCAGTAGTAAGTTGCAGTGAATACATTCGCTGAACGTGCACGCAGCCGCAACGCGCGCTTAATTTTCACCATATGAGACAACAAAGGGTTTAGGCTCATTACATTTCATTCCACATCCACATCACAAAACCGTTTACCTTAACAGCATAGTCGATCACTCGCTTTACTCCAACCAGAATCTTCATGCTGTCGATCTAAATACAAAATGATATGAGCAGGAAAGAAGTGTTATGCAACTCCGTTTCATAACGATACGAAACAATGTATGCACAAAATGTGGATATACCTAGTACGCCGGGAGGGTTAGTTACTATCACTACTAACCTTGAAGAACTTCTGTTCTACTCTCCTCCACCCGTTCAACCCATCCAGCACCGGCAGTTCCCCAACTAACGAAAAGGAGGAGAAGAAGCGGATAAGAGAATCATAGAAAGTACGATTCAGTTGGTTGAATTCCCACTACAAGAAGCGGCGTCGCTATACTGTATGAAGGTTACAGTAGTATACTGGGAACGTTTTGATCGCCTCATGAATCATGGCTCTTCTGGTTGGCGATAATTCGCTTTCGCTATCGCTTATCAAAATACCCGAGGTTCCGTCACTTAATGGAGAAGCAGCAATATTATGTTACGGTATGACCCATCTTTGAGCTCGTTCAGATTACAACACAAAGAAAAAAATTCAAAGAAAAATCGCTTTTACTCAACACCTAATTGCAGTTCCACTGAAATACCGTAAGCAGAAAGGGTAGAGCTCCCTCAGACTTTATCACCAGCGACAGTATGATATCACCGCCTGTCATTTTGTCATTTTTTCCATTTCATGCGTGACAGCAGAAAAATGCAAGCCAGCAAAACATGAAAAGGTGCAAGTAGTAAGAAATTAATGGAACGAAAAATTTGAAAGTACCCAAAACGGACTGGAAATCCTCTAAACTAAACTATGTAGGGGAATAATGCGAATGCTAATCTCTTCAAATTACTAGTCACTTTTTTATAAATAGCTGAATATTCAGGAAAATTTCGTTCTGTACAATTGTAGTGAGGAGTGTGGGATATTTTTTTCAACTAAATTTTATCTGAATGCACCTCCATCACTTTTTCGTACATTCTACCGATGAAATAAAAATTCTGTACCCTTTAACACCCTCCTATCATTTAGGTGAACAAGTAGAAATTAAGACAACTTTTCAAAGTAGACAAAAACTTCTCGTTGAATTTTTGCTTTTGGCGCCACCACTTTTTTCTCCTAATCCGTTAATAAAAACGTGAGGCTCACCTTGGCTTAAATCACGAGTACGGTAATAATATGGCGTATTTGTTTTCGCATTAAAAAATCGACTGAAGTAAAAAGAGTCTGAGCAATCCCCTCAATTGCTTAAACAATGGGTTGAATTGAGTTGATCAAAGAATGTTTGAAGAGAATTAGTAAGAATATGTAACTATTGCAAGGGAATACATTTGGGAATTGTTAAAATGCACCTAGGAGTTCTGTAGAAATGTTTAAAACAGTAAGGTAAGTGAATTTAAGGCAGTAAGTTGAAATGAATAGTGCTCGAATCGATCGCGCAACGCCCAAATCGTTAACGGATCGAAGTCCAAAGTACAACGAGCTCCGAGTAAAAAACAAGGTCATTACTCGTCTCGCAAATTCCTTTTTCTGTATTATAAGTACTGTGGAGAAGAATTCAGTGGTATCAATTCTTACCTATGAAAAGTTTAGGGACTGTTTAGTAACGCTAAATAGTCAGGTACCACTTTGCAGTGATAAGTTCTGACGTTTTTTCTTAACGAAATGAAGAGTTTCTCATATCGTATTATGAAACTGCTTTTTTTGCTGACAATTGAAGGAAAATAACAAGAGCGTGAAAAAAGTCTGCAAAAACAGACGTGGGAGTCGAAGTAATCGTGGTCTTTGCACGCGATTAGACCACGTTATGATCCACGTAAAATTAATATATAGAGTAATTGTAAATAATAAAAGGTTACAGTATAAACAGTAGAACATTCCACTTCATTCAGTCTGTGTTCAAGCATCGAAATTCTAGCAAAAACTTGCACTGCCCTCGCAGGCAATATTTTTCTGGGTTCTGTTCCATTGACTAAGCATGTGAGGGCGGCGACACTTACCCCTCACCCTATACCGCTCTTCCTCGAAAATATCCTAAAAGTTTACTACTCATGGCTATCAAAAAAGAAAACTCATCTGCAGAGTTGTTATTGAATTAGGTATAAAAAGATACTGTACAACTTTCTTGGACCACCATTGGGATCTAGTATTACTTGTAGCCATAAGCAATAACTGCTAAAAAGGGAAACTGTATAGTAATAGAAAAGTAGTAAGTATTGCAAGATAATTGTTTCAATCAGATTCGCCCATACGTACATAACTTCTGTCATCATGAGCAGCAAAAAGAATTACAAAAAGTACGTGAATCTACTGAGCAGTGGGTAAATAAGAGGTGTTTAGGATCGAGTTTTCAAAAGCATCTTTACAAAAAGGAAACCTTGAAACAATGAACATGCTCTAATATACCAAGATTGACCTCCCCTCAAAGAAGTCCATGGTGATACACGCCATGTTTTTGATTCTTTCCCTGTAATTTTGTCTTCAATCCTCGTACATGAGAATCACTATTTCTTTGCAATATGACTCATCCTCACTGCATTCTTTTTTTTCGGTCCCCTTTCCTCAGCGAAACCTTTACCGGGTTGCTTTTAGTCTGAAGATTTCATTGTAGATTTCACTCATTTATTACGCTTTCAGA